GCATTGAATTGTTTTATATATAAACTTTAGATTAAAATATAGGATACATGTGGTGGGCAGCACTTATCTAAAAATTAGTTCCACTAGCCCTAAAACACTAACTCAAAAAAATTTGAAACCCTAATTCTAAAGCACTAAAGCACTGAAAGTTTTAGCAAAAGCTAATTCCAAAGCACAGGGGTCTCCAACCAGTAGTTCGTGAGCTACCGGTAGCTCCTGGGCTCATTTAAAGTAGCTCTTCAGTGCTTATGAAAAATTAGAAGAAGCAAAATTTAATTTGTCACTGGCCAAACAAATTTTCATTTAATTCTAATCAATCTATCTATAATTCCTTCCCCTTGGTTGTCAAACAGTTTAGGGCTCAGTATGGTCGATCGGCAGATGACGCACAGTTACGTGGTTGTTTGGCATTCGTTTTCACACACTTTTTATAGACCCTTGAGACAAACTGTGCCGAACTCCTGGGAAACCCCTCCTGCTGCAGTACATGTCACTACAGGGGGTTTCTTCCCGCTGAGAAAAAATGTGGAAAAAAAAATCAGAGACCCATTACCCAATGTTGTTTGTGCACACATCTGTTGCAGTTAAACCCTAAGTTATTAGTGTAAAATACAATATAATATGAATGGATTATCACAAAAAACACAATTATGTAAATTTGGTGTTCTTTGTAATAGTTTCATGTGAACTGAAGACAAAGATTTTGTGCAAAACAAGCTTATTCCAATGGTTTAAGTTTAAAATTAAATGTTACAAAAAGTAGCTCTCAGACAATTTCATTTTATGAAAGTAGCTTTTAAGGAGAAAAAGGTTGGAGACCCCTGCACTAAAATAACCCAGTCAACCCATGAACATTCTTCAATAGACAATATGAGTCGCATATTACCATGTTGCTCTCTTAATGCTTATCACTGACATTCCACAGCTGTATTTGGGTTCATATATTCTCAATATATTGTCACCTAGTGAATAATTGACACACATATGAACAAAATGTGTGACAGATTTCACCATCAGCTGTTAACAATAATGTTGATCAATAACATTTATAGACCTCAGTTAGAACTTATAAATTTAGCCTATAAATTTAGCAAGTGCTAATCCACTAATACATTTTAAAATTAGCAAAAGCACTAATCAGGAAATTAGTTTCCCTATTAGTGCTTTAGTGCTTTAGGGGAACTGTGCCCACCACTGGGTACGATATATCCTGATTTTTATGGTGCACCTTATTCAAAGGCCAATGAGTTCTTAAAAAGAAAAAAAAACTGTAAAGAACTCATTGGCGGGCAAGGATTGAAGTCACATGTGGCCCATGAGCCACTTGAATTGCCCTGACTTAGATAAGGTCAAAGTTCTCCTCTGTAATTTTCTCTACTTTGTAAGTTTTGGTGACATTCTAGTTTTTTATGTTTGTTTGTGATTTTTGATGTTTTTAGTAGTTTTTTTAAGCTCCTCATGTCCATCTGTATTTTTGGGCTCTAACCTCTGAAACTGTGGCACCACAACAAACCTGTGATGCTGTTCCCATGATAATGTTTGAAATTCACAATCAGGTTTTATTTTTATTTTTGTGTCTTATGTTTGTTTATTATCTGTCCCAAACAGCTGGAGCCAATCAGATCATGATAACAGACTGAACGACAGTGGTGCTGTGATCAGAATGAGAAATCTCATGTATGCTAGCAGTTAATGGACATGTTGTCGTGTTCGTTATGGGACTTTATCTGGTTGCACACATGATCGATGTTACAGGCTGGTGATAAAGCTGCTGTGGTCTTTGCCAGCTTTTGGGTCCAGTCACGGTTTCCTCTTTGTGTTTTTAAATGACGGACGTTCAGTTTGACAGTCAGTCTGATGGGAGCTTTTATTCATGCAACATAATTAATGAAATCCTTTTGTCCAGATTGGAATAGCA